ATTATGTATATTTTTACGGGCATATAAAATATTTGAGTAAATGTACTTATAAAGTATTAATACAAAATCTATATAAATAACCATGTAAATTAGAATGTAAACAAATAAATTATCATTATTTATTTCATTGTACAGGACCTCAAAGGCACAGCGCGACGCATTGCAGACTTTTTCGGCAAAAGTTACAGCGAGGAGCAGTTTGACCATTTGTGTGACCATCTACACTTCGACAACTTCAAGAATAACGCTTCGATAGGCATAGACGATAATTATTGCAAGTTCGGAGATTTTCAAAAGAAGAACTTCGTTAGGAGAGGTGAGCCACGGTTTCTTTTATTCTTCTTCTTCTTCTTAGTGTGCCGCTTCTGTACGATCATGGCTATTCTCATTTTTGAAGCTGCCACACGAAAGAGGGAACGTGTACTAAGGTACAAGGTGCAAGAATCCGACAGGCTGGTGGATTCTTCAATCACGAGGATTTCCTTCTGCCACGACTACGCTTTCCTTGTATTTTTCCCTGCAGTATTAGTTGCAGAATCCGGTATCTATTGACCCTCATTACGTGGCTAAAATACTGCAGCTCCCTTTCCTGTACAATTCTGAGTATTCCTAAATTTTTTTTGTTTCTTTTATTGCTAAAAATTAAATGGGATTGACTAATAGCCGCTCACGCGATACATGCAGCCGTAGACGCATACCACACCTAGAGGTGCCGGTGATGATTTTATACCGATTTATCGGATATTGAAGTTATAACAGGTAAAAGAACTAATATTAATTGCTATTTCGGTAACTACTCTCGCAAAACTGAATCCATTTCTATTTTGCGAAACCAAATAGCCGCCATTTTGCGGTAGGAGGAGCACATCGCGTGAGCGGATAAATGCGTCCGTCCAATACTCCGATCCGAAATCAGATTGACCATAATGTGATTCGATGGGAAAATTCATAGCGCAGACAAATTTTGACGTAGCCGCTCGTTATCTACTCATTTGAGATAAAAATCTATAATATTCAGTCGCGTAATATCGCCGCTATAATTTCTTCCAATTATAGATCGATGCTTTGTCATACGACAAAATAGTGGTGTCTAATTGGGAGAAGTTATATCGCACTCTTATTACAGTAGTGTTGTAACTCAAAATATGTGAAATTTAATATTATATCATTGTTGAGCGTAAAATTTGATTCTCTACACGTCACACGTCAAAAAACCGTCGTTAGAATATTGTAAAAAACAATCCAAGGATATCTACTTAACTCAAAAGGAGACTCGCTTTATGTGCGCTAGTTCTGGCCAAAATAATCCATATGCAAAAATGTGAAATTATTTTCTCTATTTCATTTTTAAATATATTTGGGAAATGGTTTGTGTCTATAGTAAACTATAACATTATACATAAATTTTAATGATTTTTTGTGAAAAGTGAGTAATTCGTTTTTCATCGATTCTGAGAAAGTCCACTTTTTGAGTTAATACACTATATTGTATTAACAGTGCGGTATGTAATATTCATTATTGAGTTCATTCACATCAAACGTGAGAGATTGTAATATATCAGCTAAGTTTGGTTTTAATTAAATAAGCCGAACTTGGGAGTCTATTGCGAATATTTCGACTCATCCGATGAACAAAGTCCGATGTGATTATACAGCGAAAAGAGGATAAATACATCATTTCGTTATTCAAACTAAGGCCTGTGTAAAGGTTTTGAGAATTAGTATATCTTATTTCGTTTCGGAAATATAAAATCGAGCAATGGTCGATCTGACATCCACAGCGAAGAAGAACGAACGAAATGTACTATGTCCTGAGAACAAGTAGTCTTGCACATATATCTTTGTTCTACGGATGAGTCGATTTGTTATTGCTTCGGTATTTCAACTCTTTTTATATAAAAGGACAGGCATATTCATCCTGAATGAGTACAATCAAGAATAAATACAAAACAGTACGAAGGGGAGCAGTGTTCTTGGCAGTTCGATGCAACATGTTTGTCAGCTGATTTTTTTTTTTTTTAATTTTTAAGTTTCATTCAATGTCACGATGTTTGACCACTAGGCTATTCAGTTATTTTTGTGAAATTACTCCACTAGTTTGTTATAATAATTATTAGCGCCTCTGTGCGAAATAGATTTCTGGCGCTATACTACTACTGCACTAGATGGCGCTACGGCAAGAAAGTCTTCAAAAACCAAGAACAAAAATCTGCAACGAGCACATAGAAAAAAAACCGTAAAGTCCGCTAGTCCGCTCCGTGGCTTAGTTGGCATAGCGTCTGACACGTTTTGCTGGAAGACGTTGGTCCGAATCCAGCCGGATCGAAGGAATTTTTTCTAAGTATTCGATCTTTGTATTAGTAATTATATTTTTTTATGATATTAAGCAACGGGATCGACGCTTGTCCATTCCGTACGCCTCATGGTAAGCGGACACCCATTCTTTTTCATTTCTACCCACTTACTCTACCCATATCAATTGCAGTGCAACTCGGAGGCAGGGCACTGCCACTGAGCCCGTCAGACATAACATTCATACGAGGAATAAAAATAAACTAGCTGTTCTTGAGAGTCGTCTTCACAAAGTCTCAAATTCATTTAAGGGGCAATGTCGGACTCCAAAGATTTTTTAAGGAACATGTCTGTGTTGTCGAAGTAGCATAGTGTCTAAGTAAATTCATGTCGGAGTATCGCGTGTCGTAGTTCAGTTTTAGAGTCGATTATGTGCCTGTAATTTCACTATCCTAGCACTTCAAAAGTGGAACGCAGTAATGGTCACAGTGACTTTACTGCCTGGCGGCAGAAATGTGTGTGGTGGTTTCCCTGGATGAATTCTTTCACAAGCTCTACTGCTATGTTTGCAGGTAAATCGGGCGGTTGGCGCGAGTATTTCGATGAACAACTTGCGGCGCATGCGCAGCAGTGGATAGACCAGAACTTGCGTGACACCGACTTGCGCTTCCCACAATAAATATTCTAGATAAAGCTAAAATTGTGATATTTTTTTAATGCGTCACCTAATTAATTAAATTCTGCCGTCGTTTGTAGAAAGGGCGCGTAAGACAAAAACTCATAACCCAGAAAATATAAAAATAGTGACAGATGGTGTTTTTTTACTGATCAGCGTATACATAACATTTTTGCAAAAATATCAAGCGCGCCCTTTCAACATCGGCAGTAATATTATTTTCAACTAATACGTTGTACCAGTAAAGAATTTGAGCCGGTTTTTAACCGACTTCAAAAAAAAGGAGGAGGTTCTTAATTCTACTGTATGTTTTTTGTATGTTACGCGATAATTTGTGAACCGATTTTGTTGATTCTTTTTTTGTTCGATAGGGGGTAGCTCAAATGTGGTCCCATTTAAATTTGAAGAAAATATTTCACCTCTAAGGGTGGCAAACTAGGGGATGAATGACTTTTGAGGTTTTTGTTTTTGTACTCTGTACTGTTTTGTTATGTAGACGATGCTGGATCCGTTACCATTAGACAATAATATACTTTGGTAATGCACATGATATTCTATTCACAATAAGAATGCAGGTGATCATTCTCGTATGACTGTGATTAATTAAATCGATTTTTTTCCACAATCTTAACGGTGAAGTTATTATAATAAACGCCTCAATATCGTATGAAAATACCAAAAATATTGACCAAAGACAAAGATTAAATGTGAAAGTGAAGGCGTCAGCGTTGTAGTTCCAAAATATGAGGATAAAATAGAAGAGAGCACCAAAAATCTTAGAAAGAAAGATTAGATAAGAGGTCGTCAAAGCATCGCTTTTTTTTTAAATAATAACAAGTGACGGGACAAATAAGACGTGAGTCTAGTGGTTAGCGACACGCCTATCCAGAACAGTTGCAGGGCCACTCAGAACTTTAAATCGCAAAGATCTGATGGGTACTGCCACTGCGCTCGTCATCCTGAGACAATAATATAATGCCCTTACTCTTGAAATCCAGAACGCAGTAATGGTTCACAGTACTGCTTGGCGGCAGGAATAGATACGATGGCAGTACTGAAAGAACTCTCACAAGGAGCTCTACTGCTACTAAATGATTATCGTACACAAGTTGTAATGTTAGCAACAGGCCTAAATATAATGACACTTTTAAAAGTTGGTAGGTTTAGAATAAAATTAACACGATATTTGCGAAGACTCACCGACCAGCCCCATAAAGCACAGACCACATTGCGAGCGAAGCTAAGCTAAGTTAGCTTTAGCTCAGATAGCCGCGACACGTTTTCGTAGATCTGTTCACACCGCGAACTAAGCTAACAGAGCTAAGGTCCATAGTTGGTTGCATGCAGCTACGTGAGCTAACTTAGCTCAACTTCGCTCGCGGTGTTTTTGGCAACACTAAAGGTTTACCTATTTTACACCTTAAATTATTGAAACAGAAGGGTATCAAATAGGGAACAAGAATCTAAAAAATGATTAGACTAGCGTAAAAGAAAGAAAACAACAAATTGCGAGATAAGGATATGTTTATTAGACGAATTCATACCTCAGGCGCGCGCGCACCGAGTACAACTTAAATTATAATCATATTTATTGAACACACGGCGAAATAAGTAGGTAACATTAAAAAATATTATTAGTACATTCGAATATCTTCGCATTGACAATATTATACGAAATTCAAACTCCCTTCTCCCTGCTTCACACCAACACTCTCAATTTACATTATTGCGGAAGGGAATGGAAACGAAGTTCCGTAACTATAGCATAATGACCTTAATGTCAATTGCTTAACATACAAAACAGATACGAGTCAAAAAAGAGTTCGTCAATTCCCGCAACCACCTTATCGTATTTAGTTTTTACGTTACACAATTGACATAAAGTTTATTATGCTATGTACAATTTCAAATACAAAAACCCTTTCATTCCATTCCGCAGTAATGTAAATTGAGCTTAACTTTTAAACCCTGTGGTCGACTTTGCATCCACTTCCCAGCAGCCGATTTGTCTTTTTATAAGCATCTTAATATTCCGAAGTAGACCTTCTCGATCGAATGTCACATTATAAGATCTTGTGGTAATTCACTAGTCCAGAAAGCTTTTCCTTACGTGACACGCCGCTTACAAGAACATCGAGGTATAAACTTCAACCGTAGACTCTTTTTTAACCGACTTCAAAAAGGGAGGAGTTCTCGATTCGGCAGCATATTTTTTTGTGTGTACGTATGTTACTCGAACCTTTGCTTTTAAAATTTGTGAACCGATTTGATCCCATTTAAATTTGAAGAAAATACTCCACGTGTAAGGGTGGCAAACTAGGCGATGAACCATGTTTCGAGCAGTGTATTTCAGAGATACCTGAGACCAGTTAACCACAAAGCAGTTTGAAAAGAGGTGCCGTAACACGCGGAAGATGGTCAAATCTCGATGTATCACGAAAGAAATGCTCGCTGCTGAATACACAAGCTCATGATGCCTTGATCCATAACTATAGTAGTGGTTATAGATAATGAAACAAAAATGTAACTTACTCATTTCGCCACTTCTTTAAATCTAACTCGCTATCTTTGGAAGAAACTAAATCTGACCAATGCCTTGTTCAAACATGAGCAAAAATGAAATAGGTGAACGGAACAACTGAACTTCCAAACATTCTAATACTACAGTAGTGTAACATGTTCGTTTTTATTTGTCAGGACAATGTACTCACTGTAATCCTGACACTTTCGCCAGGAAAGAATTGGATAATCTAAACAAGCTTTAGACCTACGGATTAGCAATGCATGTCGCCTATACAAGATGTCAATTATCGTTTTTTTTTAAATACTAGTCGTCACTTAGTATTATAAAAAAAACACGGGACGAACAAGTCGTGTCACAATGATCTGAGATGCACCGCCACTGCACCCGACACCCTGAGTCATAAGTTGAAAGTCCCATGTGCCTGTAATTTCACCAGTACCCTTACTCTTTGAAACGGAACGCAGTAATGTTCATGTTACTGCTTGGCGGCAGAAATAGGTAAGGCTGCACGTGGTACATATTACGAATACGGCAATGCAGTTGTCGACTGCATAAACTGCAGTAGCGATGGACATATGCAGTAAACACAACTGCATTCAGGCTACTTTTCGGCGGCATTCCAACTGCATGTTATACAATAAAAATGCAGCTTGTTTAATACAGATCCCGCTATACCCATTGGTTATCGTACTTAAGACGTACGATGAGACACAACCTTGTTTTATCTGCCAATAAAGAATTATTCTTTATTGTAAATTGTACCTTAGTTATTTACATGTGCAGAGTCAAGAGCACAACAAGTTTGACACTTAAGCGTGACTCACACAGATATCGGGTGCGGGTCGGGTACGGATCAAGTGCCGGTCCCGACACGAGCAGCACCCGCTCTGTGTGTTTCACGCTTTAAGGTTTCATTTCAACTCTATGCCGCTTTCGAATCAAACTAGATGTTCTCTTGACTTGTATATGTTTAATAAACGTATTATAAAAATATATATATATTATGAGCAGTGAGTACACAGTCCGCAAAACTTTAAAATTTCTGTACATTTAAAATTTAACATTGGACCTTTTAACTGGCCAAATAAAATTGTTAACTATCAACAATTTATCGACACATTCTGGCAAACCGCTATTATAATAATTACTAGTTATTATTATATAAAATCAATGTTGGTTCGTCACTTTATTACATAGTGAAAAATTATACAGGATGGAATTTTTTTTTATTCTATGATAGTTTAAAAAGATAAGTTTGCTTTTTATATTAGCTGGAGAAAGTTAGAATTGGAAACATGTAAAATATTTTTTGCTAGATATGATTTCGAAAGTGAATTTGGGGGCATTTAAAATATATACTTAAAAAGCAGTTCTGTGTGTGAGTCAGCTTAGCAAGGCGACCCCCATTCATATATTACTGTAATTTTTTTATGTATAACTGAGGTCGAAGATAGACGCACCGTGCCGGGGAGTAAATAGGTGTAATTTAAGCGTCAAGTTTTTCAGGTAGACAAATCCTTTTAAAAAATTAAAGAAAAATAAAAATATCACCCTGTATTTACAATTCGTTTATTAGTTATTTAATAGACATCTGTCAGGCACAGCGTTCATTACTATAACCATTTTTAAGCGTTTATTTGTTGCGGCACACTAGGCAGTTGTTCTATGAGGGATCTTCGGCGAAACTACATTCAAAATTTAACTAAAACACATCAAAAATGAGCTTCTCTTACGTTAGGTTTAATGTAGCGTGTTGTATAGTTGATGTTGAGTAACTTTCAACTTCAACCGATAAAACAAATCAATACGACGACCAGTTCAAGAAGACACCTGCTCATCTATCGCAGTCACCCTGTGATTCCACGTATTTTTTATGCCCATGTTAAGTGACGTTAATAATGTAGCATGAATAGGTCGTTAATATATCACGTTTACTGCTTATTATACACACGTCCATTGATGCTCCATTAACTGTATAATAATCTGCTAGTATGCTAAAGTGAAGTCTATGACAGGTTAATGACACAATAAATATTCTTCTTTGTCATTCACTAACTGTATAACACCTGTAGTTTGCGCCAAACATCGGTTTTCTAGTGTCTTTATGTGACGTAAATGAAATTTTTTTTATATTATAAATAGTTTAATGTATTCTATGATCGTGATTAATTAACATGTTCCACTTTCGTCATACACGATTTTCTAATGACAAAAAATAATGTGTTCACAAAAAACAAGCAAATATTTTATAACATTATTAAGGCAACCTGTATAAATACAAAATTTATTGCTGTACGAATTACATTATTTATAACATTTTGGTAGTTTCATTTTAGTGATATTTCTGAATGAAATCTTATGTACGATTGGAAAAAAATCTTGTAATCCAATAATAAACTTACGGTATACATAATTACACAATAATACGCCTATATTACATAGTTAGGTTCACGCAAATGATACGAGGCATTGGCAAATAAATATAAATGCATAATCAAACCTGACTAGAGAATTTTGATTTCTTTCTCTTGCGTCTTTCCTAATTTTTCCTAATTTCTTTCAGTTCATATTTTGAGCCAGTGTGTACCTAAAAAAACCCACTGCATCGTACATCGTCCTCTTGAACATGAAATAAAGTAACTAACAATTTTGACAGAGAAAAGCTATTTACATACTTTGATATTAAGAATTTTGTGTACTATGTTGTGATGCAAAAAACTCGTATTCATTTTGCAGGATACGTCCATGAGTATTGTAAGGGACGATGCGTGAAGAACATTATGATGAGATTTATTTTTATTGTAAGGAATCCAAGGAAAGCTTTTAGCAACGGGGTCGAAGACATAAATGTTTCTGACAATCATTGTGTGCTTCTGGACAGTCTGAATACATTGAATTTAACAAGTCAGATCCATACTCAATGAAAGTTAAGTATGGATAAGATTTTGCTAAATCTGATGATGAAGTAAGAGGACTAATCATGTTGGGCAAGTTTTAAATTTGAATAGTATTTATTATGTTAAAAGTGTCTAGTCTAGCCTAGGGACCCGTGCCCTGCAGTGGGCGTTTATCGTCGCCTTAGAGTGAAAACCTCTCATACGCATTTTAACATAGTTCGTTTTTACTAATTTTTGTTGGAGAAAGAAAAACTTTTTAAAATAATATAGTATCTGAGAAAGGTACAATTTAAGTAATTAAAATGCTAACTACAAACATTATGCTCTGGCTACACAGAGGCGGTCGCGGAAGAGTTCCGGGCACGGGAAATTTTGTAATGTACGAGCTCATATGAAACCTGCCACACCAAATGCGCACGTCGGCCGCCTCTGTGTGGCCAGAGCATTATTGCGTTTATTACAATATTACACCACATTTTTATCTTCGTCCTGAAAAATTACATAGAAATCACATACGAGGAATTCACTCTAAAATGGCGATATGGGTTTATACAGTACAGCCTAAAGGTTAGTAAACATAGCTTCTTTTTTATATTCGAATCACATTCCTACGTATCATTTGCATAAAGAAATAAACACTAATATTGAGAGTAATACGATATATTTAACACTTCTTGTCACCTTTTTCACAGCACTTTGTCCATCAGTACACTACTATGTACATAGTATATAATTATAAGGCTCCACCGGTTTCTCACTTTATATTGCTGACCGCGTCATTTAGGATACCACTATCACTAAAATCACTATTTAAAATAACAGTTTAGTATGTGGACACCGCATTGTAACTGCTAAAACATGTCCACATCAGGCCGTCGCTAGACGAGCACGAATATCATTCGTTATGGACGCTGTCCGTCCGAAGTCTGCACTACCAATTGAGAAGCGGTTGTGGGGGCCATCACCTGAGGTAAAACAACACCATGGGGCACGGCCACGGACTGTGGAACCACAGATTGGGACATCAGCATAGCCTGACTCAGTGCTACATTCTGTGGTAACACACTTGATATAGTCTGTGGTACACTCGGAGATACTGTAGCTACCACAGTCTGTGGTATCACTGTTAGCGATTTTGGTATTTTTGGCATCAACATGCTTGGTGTCACTATAGGCAATGTTGGTGTAAGTACTGTTTCACTTGTAATTGATACTGAAGGCAACTGTGGTAGTTTTATTGGCGTGGACGTTACGATTAGCGACGGGGATGACACTGATGGCGAAGAAGGCGTTGATGACGTCACAGTTGCAGTTTTATTGAGAATCGGAGCAATTGTAATGTTCTTGAGACCAACGTTTTTCAATATCGTAGCAGCATTTGTCGAGATCTGTTTCAACTCTGGTAATTCCTTTTTGTCGTCCTTTTCTGGTTGTATGTTTTGTAGGACAGTACCACCATTGCCGTGCGTTGTCGAAGGTTGTATCTCCGTGACTACAGTGGTATCTTCGGATTTTTTCGCCTTTTCTCCGTCCTGTAGCTGCTGGAGTTTCTCTCTGCGCATGATGCACATCTTGTTGTAGTCTTGCAAGGTGATGTGGTACCGTTGGCCGGAAGACATCACCTGGACGAGGCTCGGCAGGCTGCGGCCGTCCACAGCCACCTGTTTTGGCTCGCGAGCTATGCGCGCCTCGTTCTCCTAGAAAAGAAATAGTATTGTAAATAATAGTAATTTGGTAAGTAATTCAATGCTCCTTTGCTAGGAAATTCACTTTTGATTATGCAAATCAATTCCTTTATTTTTAATGTTTTAACTAGTAGATGCAGAAATTAAATTTTGTGAAGTAAATTTATTGCTCCGTTTCATAAAAAACAATAAATATACCAATTATTATTAAATAACAATAATAATACTAACAGGGGTAATCGGCATAAGGGTTGGCCTCCATGGCTTGCTGGTGAGCTTGGTCTTCTTTGGAGTATCCTTCGGAGGGTCTTTCTTGTCTTTAATTGGCGCAGGCGTAGGCATAGGCGTAGGCGTAGGCGTAGGCGCGGGCGCGGGCGCAGGCGCAAGCGCAGGTGCAGGCGCAGGTGCAGGCACAGGCGTAGGCGTACGCGTACGCGCAGGCGTAGGCGCAAGCGTAGCCGCTGGCGGCGCGTCGAATTTTGGCGCGGGCAACGGGGCCGCCGCGATCTCCGTTGGGTCCGAGGCCGACACGCCCTTCACCAGTTGCTGAATGTTATGAAGAACATTCTGGATCGCCTTCCTGCCTTGCGCGTTCGGCGTATTGATTGCAATCAATTCGGGAGGCACTTGCTTAGACTTCTTTTCCTTAGCAACTTTAGGCTTAAGCAATGGAGGCGGCATTGCTTTCTTGGGCTCTTTATCTTCTTGGTTTGTTTTTAGTAAACTTTTACCGTTAATAGAAGGCTTTTTCCTGTATTCAATTAGACTGATAGCCGGCTCGCTTCGTCTTGGGGCGTCGTTGGCTACGTTATCGTACGCCCGCAATCTACTCTGTACGGAATCGCTGTAGTTAGCCGCGTGCGTTGTAGCATTGTGAGCTAGTACTAAATCACCATTTCTAAAGTATTTTTCCAACAAAATCAAGTGCCTTAAAAAGCTCGACTGATTGCCGTAAGGCCTTTGTAGCTCATTCCACAGTTTCTTAGTTTCATTGTCATATTGAATTGTTGTGCTACACTTCTCCCATCCTTCTGGGGTTAGACATTTAACATTGTTAAACTCTATATTACATTGTAGATTCATTTCTTCTTCTCCAGGGAAGAGTTCTCTAACCGATATAGATGGATTGGTCTCCAATCTTTTAACTGGATTCGAGTATTTAGGGTCATTAAGTTTCTTAGGTTCTATGGTTAGTTTCTTAGATAGTTCGCTCAGATTCTTCTTCACCTGAGAAAAACTTTCCGACATTTGCCATTTGTTTTTCAATGTGTTTATATCAGCTGGTTTCTTATTAGGAATAGTTTCTATGGTACATTCCTCGTTCAGTGATAGGTTCTTAAGAAGGTTAAGCCCATCTTTTTGTTTGTCAAGGTCAATCAACGTTTCAGTGTCACTTTTGTTACTTATCATCATTTGTCCTAACTTGTGTAGCCTTCTGGCGTTCTTATCGAGTATTCTCTGCTGATGACCAGGTTTCTGTATGCCTGTTATATTGACTTTCATTATACTTTTTTGTTTTTGAGTCAAGTTGGGTTTATTTAAGAATTGAGCTGGGTTGTTTTGCTTCTGTAGAAGATATTGTAGTTCTGTTTGTTTGTCGACTGGAAGAAGTGGTATGTCATAGTCATATGCGTTTTCAGGGTCTGAATAATCACTTTGTGCAACCTCTTGTTGTTTAGCACCGGGCACAAGGATCTTGTTAGAAGATATTAGGCTTTCTATGTCTTCGTCTAAAGGTGCATTTGACGTGTTAGATTGTTCTCTAGCTTTCTCTTTCTCTGGAGAACTTTCTGTTTTCTCCGAAGAGCCACTGTCTCCCGGTTTGTCACGATCAGCCGATTTGCGCTTGGACTTCATTCGTTGCTTCTTTTTGGCCTTATTTGAATCTTCTTCGTTGGTTTCGTCGTGTGATTGTGACGGTAATTGCACGTTGTAGAGTTGCAGTAACCTGAAATATCCCACAAATTCGTTACTTCCTTGATATTTGGTACCATGTTTATTTATTGTAGTGTTATTTTCATGTCTTAAAAAAAACTTGTTAATATAGTTCTGTACAGAACCTGTGACTTGTGTAAGTGACTTTATATATATATTACTCATAATAATTAATACTTGTATAGCAACAGCAGCCCAAAGGGAGAACAACTGAGAGGTTGAAAGTTCGAATCTCTGTGGCGGCACGTGCCTGACTTAAATTTGTAAAGTTACATTGGTGAATACTCAGTACTCAAAATCTTTTGGTGAACGGTGATGGAAAGCTCATGACAAAACCGGCACGTCGAAGAAGGCACAACGTTGGAAAAAGTGTTAAGTCCCAACCTGCAACTCTCTCTTAAAAGAGACCCGTGTCCAGAAATGGGACATATTATGGGTTGTATATGATGATAGTGCAGTTAATTTCACATAGCATGGGTACGGTGACGTTTGAGATTTGAAGTTTCTAGAGATGTAATGATGTAAAATCGAATGAAAAAACATCGATATATCGTATAGAGATGATTTGAGTTTGAGTATCGATTTAGAGATAATAATTTAAAAACAAATAATGAATATAATAAAAAGGATTCAATTATTATGTTATTAAGTTAGTAAAAATCTACACAATAAATAGAAAAGTTAACAACAAAGCTTAAAATCAACAGCTACGAGACTAAATTTCAACAATACACTTCTACTGACGCGAGATACACAATAGCCAAATCGATTTCTCGATTCTATAGTGTATATCTCTATGGACAAATATACCGTTTTACGCATCAAGTACTAGGGGTAATTTATTTTTATCTTTATCATTTCATTTTCTATCTACTTAATATACCGTAATTTTTACTTAAAATTACAACTGCAACAAATATTGTTCGATTTTGGTACAGTGTAACAAATTTACTATTTCTTTTTATAACCTGGTGGACAAATTACTTAAAAATAGTATGCGTGCAATGTAAAAATTGGAAACGTCATTGTACCCATCGTATGTGAAATTGAACTATAATTAATAATCCATTAAAGCTGGACATTTCAACAAATTTTAGGACCTAACGGTTTACCTATCAGAAGTCCGAAATGACATTTTCCAGAAATAGCGTTTGCTCGAGTTTTAATAACCTCGAAAGTAATTTTGAGAGGATTTTTTTTTCTTTTAAACCTAACTTAATCTAACCTAACCGAACCTAATCGTGTCTTAGCGAAACACCCGATATATCCTGAAAGAACAACGGTTTCGTTATTTTCGGGGTAATGAACATTCGAACAAACGTTATTTCGGAAAAAATAAATTCGAATATGTGATAGATTAACGACCTAATGGAGTAAAGGTTTGCACTCACTTTCTAGTGTACTGGTCGGAGTCTGGGTCGTGAGTGCCGCGCTGCAGCAGCGAGCAGTAGTAGCGGCACATCTTGCACGCTACGCCGCGTGCAGTCAGCACCACCGGGATGCCCAAGGCCGCCAGCAGAGGATTCAGCTCTTGGTAGTTCTGTTGGGGAATCGTTATGCTGTTTATAATACAGTTCAATCGCATGTATAACACTTATAAGGTATATAATATATAAATTGATAATTGCCTTAGTAATTATCAAAAAAATATTAACTTTGATAATTTAAATTGCGATTAACTCGAGCCTTATTGATCATGACTATATATCGGTGAATGTTGAATAAACGTTTATTATAATTAGGAGATTTATAATAAGGGTTCGAAGTAATAATTATCATTGATATTTATAAAAGTAAGAAGAATAACAAAATGCTACCACAAGCAATTTCGTAGCATATGTTCGTATCAGATGTATCAAAACGTGTCAAATGTCAATATCAAAAAGTCACAAACCAAATCGGTTTTCCCAAAGATTTTTGTATGGTTTTCTCAGTTAGTCATTTTAGTCAAAAAATAAATCAGCATGGATAATTATCAGATATAAATCGGATAACTGTTAGGTAATTATCAAAAGAAATAAATGTCTTGATAATTATCCCTGTTCTATTAGAACATTATAGTCTGATGAAAATGAGTATGTAAAAGCTTAACAAAAGAAATAAAGAAGCAAACGTATTCCAGAGACTTAAAATCAAATTCGCCAAACGATATTCTGAGCTAAGGCCAAATGGAACATACAATATACAGCCAGAGGATTGGTCGAAAATGTTATTTCTGACAAAATATGATAATTTATAATCATATCTAACTATAAATATCTGAAGGTATCCGAGAACAGCCCAGACTGCTGGCCCTGTGCCAATAAGAAACGTTATTATTAGAAAAGTAGACGGTAAAGAATACATACATGCAGCAGATGCACATTATGGTGCTTGGTGACCTTGCGCCGGCAGAGCACGCAGGCCATAAGCGGCGCCAGCGCACGGTAGTGTGACGCGCACAGCGGAATCGTGTGCAAGCCTGGGTAGTCTCCTTCCAGCTTCAGCTACAAATAAAAACATTCTTTTAATGCCAGAACGCAGTCTCGCGCCTTACTCTATAAATGTAGTGTTAAAAATAGTAAACCGTCACCCAGATGTAGTGTGGTTGAATTGATTAAATATTTATTTAGGTATAAATTATGTTTTTTAAACATCATGTGACGGGACGAACAAGTCGTGCACCTGATAGTAAGCTACACGCCTGTCCATAACAGTTGCAGTGCCACTCAAAGCTTTAAATCTCAACGATCTACCACTGCGCCCGTCACCTTAAGACACAAATTGACAAGTCCTATGTACCTGTAATTTCACCAGCACCATTAACCCTTTCTAAACCGGAACGCAGTAATGCTAACATTACTGCTTGGCGGCAGGAATAGGTAAGGTGTTGATGGTGATGTTTTTATTTATTTGTTTTAAATGTAGTAGATATAGATAGATAAAATACACATTTCATTATCAACATTTTCGCTTGTAACTGAAAGTTATACTTTGAGCTGAAGCCTGAATTTGACATATGAGATAACCTTACTAGCAGTAGAGCTCCTTGCGAAAGAGCCCAGGGAAGTACTGCAACCATGCCTATTTCTGTCGCCAAGCAGTAATGTGAGCATTACTGCGTTCCAGTTTTGAACTGTAAGGGTGCTGATGAAGTATTTTTGCGCACACACCATGAGTGGCACTGCAACTGTAGTGGATAGGCGTGTCACTTATCTCCAGTAGTCTGTCACGAAAGAGCGCAACTTGCGCAAAAGTGACATATAGCGCGAAATACAGTTGTTCTCGCAGAGATATCACGCTTTATGTCGCTCTCACGCAAGTCCCGCCCTACCAGCCGGTCACTTGGTAATGCGTGAATTCACTTACATGCAGTCAAAACCGACTTCATGCAGCCTAATGTGAGTTTGCCGGTGCCTGTACTCAGGACAGAATGACAGTGTCCGAATCGGATAGTACAAAAATGAACTTACCAGCTTGTTGACAGACGACCGCATCTTGATAAGCCATTTGCGTCGAATGGAGTGGTCGGCCGGCGCCGTGCAACCCTCGGTGTGGCATATGGCCGGGCGTCCCCCCGCACCCGCCGCCGCTGCTCCCGCTGTCTCTTCTTCGCTCTCCTCTTCTAGCGGAGGACTACCCCCTTTCTCAGATGTGCTCCTGTTAGTCAAAATTGAGATAGTTTACATAACATTTTAAATACTCACTGTTAGAAATTTGAAGGCTATGTCCATAGAGTGTGCAAATTTAATAATATTAACATGGTAAAGTTTTCGCTTGTGGACATGGTTTTACAATTATATTGCACCAATGTTTAGGAAGAATAATCTGATGTGAAAGAATAGTTACGTTTTTTACGAAGTGTTAGTTAAAAAATATCACAGCATGCGTAAATAACTTGATCGTGTGTAAGTGCCTACACAAGTGATAATTTTATACTTTTAAAGAGACCCATATACATAGAAGTAATTAGCGCTCATTAGACAAGAGATTTCTCCAAAACAGGTGCATGGTAAAGAACTTTATTAAGCTTCATAGATACCAAGACTGTGTTAAAGTTTGTTAGGAAATGTAAACCTGCACTATTTTGCAAATAGGCGAAACTACGCGCGTAGCAATTTGCTACGGCGTAGCGCTATTTATGGCAATATGCCCAGGGGCGTGGTATGTCAGTTTACGTAACTACAATTTACATAACTGCCACTCCTTTCTTCAATTTTGCCATTACAACTATGGTAGTGACTGGCGACATTATAATTATGATAACATAAAGGCAAGACGACTTCGATGGTACAAGCCTAGTGACGTCATTCGGGTTTTTGCTTAATTTGCAGTAATATTATGAGCTACATTTCGTCCTTTGCAGCATTTATGGACGACACTTACAATTGAGACGAAACTGAGCAACCAACGTTACAACATAAATAATAAATTTCTAAATAAACTACGTAAATGTTTATGTTCATAATCTCAGTACAGAGTAATAAAAAAACCCGACCTCAAAAAGGTTGTGGAATTACATCCATTTGCCAAGTTTTATTCAAATCGGTTATCGGAAAGTGCGCAAAACCGGATTCATCCCCTAGTTCGCCACTATACAGGACTGAACACAGGAGATAATAAAAATCAGTGCCCACCGGTTAAAAAGTATATTAAAAGAAAAACACCTGCAATGTGTTTTTTTTTATATAATATAAAGTTATGGGATGAACAAGTCGTGCGATTGATGCTAAGCTAGACAGACGCCTGTCCATAACAGTTGCAGTGCCACTCAGAGCTTTAAATCGCAAAGAAATGGCGGGCACTGCTACTGCGCCCGTCACCCTGAGGCATAAATAGACAAGTCCCATGTGCCTGTAATTTCACCAGCACCCTTCAAAACTACAATGCTGACATTACTGCCTGGGGGCAGAAATAGATAAGGTGGCAGTATTTCCCTGGACGAACTCTTTTACAAGGAGCTCTACTGCTACTACATGTTCAAAAATAATCCTTATTATACAATGATTAATAATAGTACGCTGTATATTATGGTGTAGGCTTTAATGGCCCGAATGTTTGTAATAACGGTTCCGCCCGTATGGCATACAATAATGCTTTATAGGAAAATAAGCCTTAAAAATATTTTATCCATTATTATATTTACAAAATTTACATTGTTCCTCGGAGTTGACTATTTGTGACAAATTACTGAGTCTGGCATTAAGTGCAGTGATAACAATATCCCTTAGTTACAGTTTATACTCCTACTTATGACGGAGTGTGACGAAAAACATAAAACAAAATGCATCTCAATATTAAAAACTAACCAATTGATAAATCTTTGATTGCTACATTGAAATATTTCCTAATTTGAAAAATGTTATTATTCGATAAAAATAATAATAATACCAATTTATATATTTTGTTGTTAATTAAAATAACTATATTGATGTTAAAGTCAAAGCCCTTATTCCCAGTTGTCACCACTGGCTTTGTTCCCGCTGGCGACAAATGAAAAAAAAAAAACATTTTTATCAAAATTGAGATGTCAAATTTTTTTTTCATAAGATTTGTATTGTTATCATTAAACTCGAATTATTTATTTTATTCACTTTCGATGGCGTCAATAAACATTACATGAGATTTTTTATCCCACGTTTTACTGGCAAGTACTAACATTTTTTAATGTCCATTTGTCACCACTGACAACAACTGAGATTTTTTATCCCATTTATCAGCACCTATGGGTGTTTTTCCCATTTGTGGCCGATGGGAACAAAGCCAGTGGTGACGACTGGGAATAAGGGGCTTTAAGTACCAAAGAATCAGAGATGAATAAAAATTCTATAGCTTTTATAAATCAATCCAAGGGGCCTATTATAACCTTTCCAAAATCTTATTTCAACGTAAGCTTAAAGTAAGCCTATTATAATATTACTCATATTTGTACCATGACAAACCTATCAACCAAGTAATGTATTATTGCTAAAGTGATTGAAAGAACGAATTGTTTCCCATTATTGTCTATTCCTTACCAAAAATAGGAAAGAAATAAAAATGAACTATATTATGCCATCTCCTCTTTTTTGATGTTCCGAATTGTCTTATCGTAGTATAATGTTTAAGTGCTTAATGTTATTTATATTCAGAGAATTTTAACTGTTAAAAAAATAAAAGTATGAAATAATAAAATCTATTAAAATGACGTTTTTTTCAATTATTTTTCTTTTGTCAATTGTTTCATGATGAAAGATAAATAAAACAAGCCGTGACTTGATAGTTACGTTGTGAATTCGGAATTATAGTCTAGTGGCAACTGTTAGTGTCGCCAAGGAGCATATAGACGTCGCTGTCATAATTTTACAAAATAAACATAGCGTATTTTTATTTAACGAGAAATGATTTCCTATGTACTATTAAATACAAAAATAAAGACAATATTGAAGAGATTTATGTAAATAAATAAGCTCAACATAACTTTTAAACATTCGAATCAATATTTAGACAATAAATTCGAAAATAATATTGTTTCCAATGCGTCCGAGTTATTTTAATAATGCTAAATTTGACATAAGAACAAATATTACTTTAATGTTATGATCGCGTCATAGTGCGAACTGAGTGAATAGTCACAAAGTTGCCAATAAAACATCGTCGTGGTACGAAAAGTCAATGTAAGGTTAAAGTAATATTATTTTAAGAGGTTGTGGTAGGCCCTCAAGTGTTTGAAGGTTTGTACGCCATTAGAAAAACTTACTGGTTAAGCGAAGTGTCAGTGTCAGCCTGTCCGGGGGCGCCGGGAAGGCGCGCGGGGGCGGCGGGTTTCTTGCGGTACGACGGACAGTTGGCGCGTCGGTCCACATGACGGTAGCATGCGTCGCACAAGCAGCTGTCTATCGCCAGTTTCTCTTCATCTGGAAAATTATACAGCACTGTAAAGACACCATTAGCTATACATACATACACGCCTTTAGATTTCCTTTAGGGTGGGCACTAGGCACAGATTATTGATTGCGATCTAACTGCCTCCGTGGCCGAACGGTTACCATGCAGGGCTGCCACGCAGCGGCCCCAGGTTCGATTCCCGGGCCGGGAGAAATATTTGTATGGCCTACATTTATTTCTCTCGTGAGTTTGGTTTTAATTTGTGGTTGTCTATGTGTGTCCATGGTACCCGCCACACAGGGTGTCCCTAGTGCGGGGTTTTTGAGTGTGTGCATTATTGCTATTGTCATTTACTATCTAATGATTAAATGTATCTTATTGAAAAAAATAATCAAAGTTTAAACCGTAAAACTTACTGTCCAAAACCTTCTTCTGTCGATCAGCGCTCTTCATCTGCGCAATATGGCAAGGCGTGTCGAACAGGCCGAACTTCCCGCCGCAGTAAAAGCACTGGTCCATGCAGAGACGGCCTGGGTGGATGCTGAACGAGGACGCCTTCTCGGGGATTACCAGGTTCAACGTTTCTTTTGGTTCGACGGGCTCTGGTGCGGCTTCTGTTTCTGCTGGATATTTTAAAAAACACTTATATTTAATTTGGGTTAGAATACAAAAGAGCGGCTCTAGTTGCAGTTTCAAATATCGATGGCGGTTTTCTGTAAAGTATACAATGTTGTTGATTCTATTTTGCAACTTCAAAATAACACGTTATGAAGCTAGTCGATGACGCCAAAAGTCGATCTATTGTCTTTGAAGGGAAGAAGAAACTACACATATTTACTATCATAGCTTCAAAGAAGGGGTCATCTCACCGTCTCTTCTATCTCATACTACTATGTACAGTCTGTCTTTTTTGAAGATGGAGTAAAATGACATTTCATTGAGCAAAAGTGTTGCCCGCTTACAAGCAGCTAGTGATTGCAGTCGATAAATCTGTGGCTCTAGTGAAAAGGGGTGCAAGTCAAAAAAGTCAACTTTACAAGGAAATGCGAAGAACACTTAACGCTTAATATCATATTAAGCTTTAACTGTTTTTCGCGTCTCCTTGTAAAGTTCTGTACCCCTTTTCACTAGAGACAGAAATATTCTATCGACTATCGAGCAAATATTGGTCACGCTTACGGGATAAATAGTCGAACTTGTTTTATTTGAATCAACCTCGACCCATTATTCATCCAATTACTGAGTACAAGTCTATTTGAATTGTCAATTTTTGTAAGTTCATACATAGATACACTGTATTTAGAACTATGTTTGTGGAAAATACAAAGAGACATATTTTAAAATGTTGTCATAATTCAACATAGATAATCAAATCCGGCTATTCTTGTTAAAATGTGTATGAATAAATATTGATCTCGATACTAATAGGCCAATTGTCAAAATAAGAATAAAGAAGGCATACACTATTAGTAATCATTAGAACGTCGTAAAATTCACAATTCAGAAGATAAAAGTACCGACAACAACTATATAACTATTTAAAATTTTATGAAAACTGGCAACCCTACAAATGTCATATTACCATTACACATTTTTAGCATTACATTACAATTTTTATTAGGTTTACAGTTAGGACAAACGAGAGGGATTAAGTTATTTGTAAGTAAAAAAAATAACGACTGTACGTAGTCATACATTGAAATGATATATGTACATAGTAAAGTGTAAATAGTGCATCTAAAATAACCTATTTGATATGTAAGTGCATGGGGAAGTGTGAACATAGTACAGCCTTAGAGTAAATTATGATTGTAAGTAGGTTGTAGTGTTGTATAATGTATTTACTATATATAATGTGAATAGATCAACCCCATATCTTTCTAAACTTTGTTTATAGTACCCCTCCCTGTTAATCTCTTAGTTATGCGGGATCACGCCGTGTACACGGACTATCCGGTTCTCTGTAAGGCTAGTGACTTAGGTGAGCTGCCCCGAGTGCACGTCTGTACGTGCGTCTACGGATGATACACAGCACCTCCGTATTTTCCAGATAGGTACCGGAGCTGTAGGCACGCTAACTTCCCGTCGCGCTCTGCGCAACTAACGGTTGCTAGTTGCCACCGCTTAAATGTGAATAGATCAAAGCAAACAACATTCAAAACAACATACAAATTCCATTCTAGAATGGAATTTTGTTTTTGTCAGTATTATATAATACAAACACACTATACAGATTTTTGAAGTTACAGGTGCTGCCGGTACAGTGCTGTGGGTCATCCAAAGTGGGAAAAAGACTGTAGGCACGGATTCCGTGCTTCAAGAGCAGGGCCCGTTTTATTTGAAAGTGGATATTATAGCTAGCCACATCCCTTACTTTGTGAACCTTTGTTTAGACACCTTTCGTTGATAATAAAAATATAATCTAACCCTGCAACGCCATTGCTTGAATAGCACAAGTAAGTTGCGGGTGGCTGTTAGTGGCTGCCGTTGTCTGCACACAAAAAGAACCCTTAATTTGGTCACGCATTAACTTTGCTGATGGTACAATATATGTCATCGTATCATCAATATCAAAAGTTATAGTTCAACTAAAAATTTCATGCTATATGCCGCGATATAAATTAAGCCTAAATCTGGCAACTTGTGCTTATAGGTTGTGCATGCTATCACTACAGGCTTAAATTTTGTGTTTTTTTGTGGTCTCAAACTTGAGAATACTTTTCCATGCGTAACGGAGTGCACTTCGGGTTATTCACTCAGAACCTATTTAGATAAGTTCATTATCCAAATTGGTCTTACCGGAAATCGAAAACGGTACTTCCTCATCCAGCGCCTACAGTGCAAACCGTTGGATTATCGAGGTCGTCTATATATAGTAGAAGTCTTCTTCTTTTTTAAATGTTATGGGCCCCATCGAAGTAATCGATGATTTCGCCAATGTCAAGTTGAGGAACATACGCATTTTTACTCAAAAACGCTATCTACAATATCGTTATGAACGAAAATTTGCTTTCATTCCGTTCCGCCGCAATATAAATTGAGCCTTAGGCATCACCTAAGTTGTTTGGAATATTGAGCTTGAAGTTCCTTATTAACTACCACAAGATCTAACGAAAACATAGTAAAAAAAAAACCTGCTGGAAAGGCCCACAAAGCATGTAAGGCCCGTTCTGAAGTGAAATCTATGATGACCTAGGACGACTACAGCCTAATTTGTCTTCAGTGAAAACAGAATCAACAACCATGACTAAATTAAAGTTCAAATTGAAAATTTTGTTTCTGTTACTTAAGTTAAAATACAACTAGTTTTCATATTTCCCCCCACCTTTTCCCTCAACCAATTTGAAAATTAATTAACAATGTATAGATTAATTAAATTGTATTATTGTTATATATTAGCCAACATATATATGTATATTTACCAACCACTAAGTTTCATTAAATTTGTCATGAAAACATAAGTCGTTGTTTCAAGTTTTGCTGTCTGTTCTGAGTGATTTCCCAGAAGATACAAGAAAGACGAGTTGTACATAACTTATGTAAAACTTTCAGCTTACAAAATATTCAAATACGAATTCAAGAACATAGCGCGATAATATTTACAAGAAAATTTTGTCGGTTATTCTCTTAACAAATTTTGATTACGTGTCCAATTTATATTATAATAAATTTTAATAAAGAAAGACGAGAAAGTTTAGAAAAATATTGAAAATTTCCAATAATACAATTTCATGCAATTTTATGTTTGTAGGTAAGTTATAAATTGTTTTTTGGCCTTTAGAAGGCTTCATGCTTTCACTTATAAGAAACGTTCAACACCTGTACCACAATGTAATTAGCTGAAAAGCACCATCTAACTATGACAATATAAATTGATAAACTCAAACTTTAGCAGTTCTTATAACTTTCAGCCAACCAAAATAATAAGAGTGGCTACTGTTACAAAAGATCTTCTATTTTTTTTAGTTTAATAAGAGAATTGCTTTGTGCCAGTGGAACATGCGTTGACAAAACGCCACGAACTGGCAGTGGCCAAACGGACACAAAATTTTCATAGTTAGACAGTTAATAGACCAAGGACCCATAACAGAGCTGTACGTTTTGATCTGTGAGGTTAATCAATAGTGATGAATGCAGGAGAAAGTTCTAACTAACCAATGAGTTGACAAAATGCAGTTCCAAATTCAAATTCACCAATCAACAATATTTTAGTGGCTTTAGCCATGATTTTTAGTTAGATTTTTTTATAAAACGAATGAGCTGTAAAATTGATGACGACACACAAATTAATCAGATCGATGGCATGTACAGCTGAATTATAAACCCCTGGTCTATAAGGGTGAGTAGCGAAACACACCATGGTTGTTAAGGCGATTACTGTAAGATTTTCTGTGCCCACCGTCCGACGTGCCTGCTGCGGTTCCCTGTCGACAAATTAACAATAATTAAACAGTTGACTTTGTTGAGAAAACAAATATAAGCGAATTAGATAGAAAAACAATAGTATAATTTCCTATGTCAATATTTCCTGTCTCATAGCAATCACGAAAACCTAAGAACTCGATAAGCAGTAGTCGGAATACAGAGTCCCAAACGAGTGATGAATCAACATTTGCCATGTACGAGGTTTAAAACTATAGTGAATAAAAAACTTTATACCAAAAGGTTTTAAAGAGCTTCTGCGTATTTGGATGATAAAAATCCGTGTTATTGACCCATTTGTTCGTTCAGGTATTCTCGATCTAAGATGTGTGAAATAAATATTGTACTTAAGTGACAAATGTATTCAAACGTAATTTACAAAGAGCAACCCCTTCTTGCTCATTCTTCTCAGGGAAATCTGCCTTACGAATGAACAGTAGAGTTTAATCAATATGAAGATTTCAAGTGTAATTTTCTAACATATGAAATAAAGATAATTATAGTTTGAGTTGATAAACGTCTACATTATACATAGATGCAAGGAGTGACACAGAGTGATTAAAACCGCCGAATACTAATTAATTAGTTTTATAGAATTCCTGATTTCCGGATACAGTTTTCCTGCATCGTAAGATAAAACTACTCACTCAAAGAAGTTTAAGTTGAATTTTAAAGTAACTCCAGTAGCGTAAAGTTAAAATACTGTAAGTAACCTTTCACCAAGGTAAAAAAACATGAGCTACAAGGAAAAAGCTTCTTTTTAACTACTTTTTAATATTCACCCATACTATAAAAACTATATAATAGTTAAAAAACAATCATTAAATAGCTCTTCTACATTGGTAAATTATACAAAGTAACAGCAAGCTGGGAAATTGGAAGAAAATAATTAATTATTATTTGGTAGTTTTAACTACTCCATGTCACTTCTCGTATCTGTATGTAGACGTTTATGTACTCATTTGGAACACACTGTTCCCACCATTGTCATTAAGTTACCAATAAAAAAGCACCATTTTTTACTAGATCACTTAAATAACATCAATTATAATTAATAAAAAGTGGTTTTAAGGTATATTTAAAGAAATGTGCATTCTACAAAGTTAATAAATTTTATATATTTATTGAGTTGTTGTGCCCGCCAGTGTCTGAAGTAATAAAACCATTTTAAAATATTACATGGGTCAGTTGTTTCAATACAGATCTTGTTGCAGTGCATATTTCCAGAAAGTTTTTTCTTTCAGTGGCAGTCATCTAGTATAAAATGTATTTCATAACAAAATAAATTTTTGTTTGAAATTGTGGACGTTTTAAAGTTTCAGTGGAATTATTAAATTAAATTTGCAAGTAACAATTGTAAATCACATCACACAAATGTTTCCGTTTTACTTACAAAATAAACTATAATTAAATATGGTTTCTAATGGCTACAGATTGATTTTTATCTTCGTAAATAACTACACTGTAAATATCTTAAAATTAATTAAAAATACGCGACTTTTATGCCTTTTTTAAGGATATCCTCAATCTTGTAGCATGCCGAGGTCGTCTTTTTCTGTCGCTTTCCTCTACGCGCGCTTTATGTCTTTCCGCCTTTCGCTCATTGTGAAGCGTATAAGGCGTGATAAGATAAGAGATATATTAGGAGAGTAGTGGTTGTGTACAGTTTCTATTTACCCCAGTTGGAGACAGGCTTCATGGTATATTGTATGTAAATTATGGACAAATTACGATTAATTATCACCTTAATGAAGACACATACATAGTCTAAGTATATTTAATTACACATATAATAACAACACAGTTGGGTGATTTACTTTTTTATCCTAATTTAGTTAGCCTTCCAAATACGAAACCAAATAGGTTTAAATGTGTTTCGTGACATTTGGTAAATATTTATTTATGTAGTGTCCAGAAGAAATCACAGTGATGACAAATAGGTGGACGCTACATCGACACATGAGTAATAATCATCTTTTAAAAAGTATATTATTAATCCATAAAAAACAATAATAAAAATGGAAAAGACAGATTCCTTACCTCGCGTCGTTCTATGGTGTAATAAGCGTCATCCTCCGTAGCTTCCTCACCGACCTCTGGACCCAGCTTGCCCCTGCTCTTGCTCTTCTGGAAGGTCATCTTCAAGGAACTTCTACACCGCTTCTTCTCTCTTTCCCCTGTGCCTGACGCCCTATTCAACTTTATCACAGTCTTCAACGTCCCAGTATAATCCCCAGAACCTGATTTCACAGCCTTGTTCTTATTCATCAAACTAGACATCGACCCATAGATCCTTTCTCGCTCTTTTAACTTTTCAATCGTAGCCTCTTTCGCAGCTTTGTGAGTCAACAAACCTAAAGTTTTCAGCACATTTTCTTTCCTTTTCTGACTCTCCGGAGTTTCCAGTAAAATGTTACTAGGACCAGGTTGGCTTTCTAAGGAGTTTCGACCTGATTTGTTCCCCTTTTCAGATTTCACAGCTTTTGCTACAGGCTTGCTTTCACAATTTTCTTTCACATCAGTCTTTGGTGTATCTTCTTTAACATCAACTTTTTTGTCAATTTCTTTTGGCTTGCTATCTTTCTGTTCTGAGCTGATTTCAGAAACTTCGGATTTATCAAGGACTTCTGGCACTGGAGTATCAACTTTTTCAGTTGTAATTTCAGCCGGTTTAGAGTCCACTTTTGGCACTTCTGCAGTTTCAGGCACGGCTTTGGAGGCTGTGTCTTCTGGAACGCTTTTTAAACTCTCTAGAGGAGGCGCCAGTGCCTCGGCTTCTATTGGTGGCACTGCCTCTGGAGATTTAATAGCAACAGGTGTTGGTGTGATGGATATGTCCATATTTTTTACATGTACTGGGGACTTGATTTTCTCTATTACAGCCATTTTCTCTATTACAGCCATTTTCTCTTCCACGTCATTGCCAGATTCAGAAGATTTGCGCGACAAAGAATCCCTCGATGCCCGTTTAGTAATTTGAACTTCGCTGTTAACAACTCGAGGTGTAATTGAAATCTGGTTTGAGTCCAGTACGACACCAACTAAGCTCTGTGTCGGGTTGTTTGGGTGCAGAGTCGCAAACTGATGCAAATCAACTTGAGTCGACGGAGGTGGCGGCTTATCTACCGACTTTCTAATCTCAGTAAGTGTCACATCCTTGCCAAGAGACTTCTCAAATATACTTATAGCATCTGATTCTTTTGAATGATTTGACCCTGTCGATTCCTTTCGAGCACTAATACTGTTTCTCTTTATTAAAGTCACAGAGTTTGGCAAGTCTACATCAATAGATTTTCTTACTTGATCCCTTTTCACTATTGAGATTGCAGAGTTGTTCTCAAAACAGCTGAGAACATTTTCCTTTTCCATCGGTCTTTCGGGTGACCTTACAGTCTGAATATCTTTAAGCTTGATATCTGCACCGGATTTAGGTATTAGTACGACGTCGTTAGAAACCATTAATGATTTACCGTCACTTGGTTTGGATTCAGATTCCTGCCTTTGTCTTCTTTTGTCAAATTCTTCAAATTCTTTTAATCTGTCCATTAATTTATCTATGCTAGCAACTGTGCTGCATTTATATGTCACCTCTTGTTTGGGGCTATCCGTTGGTTTATCTACAGAATCTTCTTCATAATGAAGTCTGATATTTTCACTGTCATCCAACTTTGAGGGCGTGCTCTCAGTGGTAATAGATTCCTTATCTTTAACAGGTGTTTCAGGGGTAATGATGCTATTATTGTCTCCTAAGGGTTTGGATAAACTATAACCTTTAGTAAGAGGCTTTGCTTGTACATGGTCTGATGTGTTTTCTACTGTTTTAGATTCATTGATGATGTCACAGTCACGATCTATGTTTTGGTCCAGGTCATTGATAAGATCATCAATTTCTTTAGACAACGATTCGAGCGTTTCTGGTTTTTCCTCGGTAGAATCGCCGGTGGCGGTATTATTGACACCGTTCCGGCTTTGGCCGGAGCCAGTTCGCGTAGCTGTGGCCGCTTTTCTCCCTCTTCTAGCTTTCCTTATATTCTTTGATACCTCCTTTGAGTTGAAAGTCCTGGACATACTAGTCAATATACTACTACGGGCCTCAAAAAGCGTATCGTTTTCAGTCTTTGTCGGTGATTTGTCTTCTATGTCAGATGAATTTAATTTTTCTAATTTAACCCTATTACTATTATTGTTGTCGGAGTCTAATGAAGTACTTCTTTTTAAGCTCAGTGATTTCTTATTCTTTTCATTTATGTTACTACTAGGTCCTGTATCCTGTTTGGTTTCAACTAATTTGGAGTCAACATTGAGTGAAGGCACTTTTTCGTTAGTAGAGATCTGTACATTATTTTCAATATCTATGTCTAGGTCAGTCTTAGGTTTATCTAATTTTTTGTTGAGCTCTTTGCTATCAGTGTCATTGATTGACTCATTGAGGCTCAAGTCAGATTCAGTGATGTCAGAGCATTTTGAAATCTCGCTACCATCTCGGGAACAAGAGCGGCCTCTCTTCAGCTTCTTACAATCCTCAGTGGCATCAATGCCATCAGCAGGCTTAGAATCTGAGAGCAGGCGTCTTCGCTTCTTTTGTTCTTTCATTACAACCTCATTCAACAGGTTGTTCTTAACTTTTCTTGGTTTCCCACTGCGCAGGTTTTTACCTTCAAACATTGAAGGGCTATTGCTTCTTTCCGATCTCATTGAGTATGGGCTGGTACGTGGCCCTAATACCAGATTGCTGGGAGAATCTGCAAGCATAGACTTCATCATGACCACGTCAGAAGTAAGCCTTTGCCTCCTGCCAGCTGTACGTGGACTGGAAGACCGGGAGTTTGATTGTGTCTCATCAACTGGTTCCTTCTTTATTTCAGAGGCAGGTATCAATGGGACGGTTTCCTTTTCTTGAGAATTCTCAGGTTCACTTTTGATCATAGGCTTTCTCCCCCGTTTAGCCGTTTGTCTTATAACATTTTTGACAGCGTCTTTTGCAATTGCAACTTTTTTGCTTCGTAAAGCCTTTCTGATACCGAGTGGCTTCTTCTTGATTATTGCTTTAGGTTTGGCTACATTTCTCTTGGGTTCTTTGGACGTTTTGGGTTCCTCCGGAGTGGTTTTATTCTTTTCATCCTCAACAATATCCGAGGCTTTCTTGCGGGATCTAGTCTTCGGTTCTACAGCAGTGTCTTCATCGATGCTTTTGTCAGACTCCTCCTTGGCCTGCTTGGTCTTCATGTTGGAATGTGTGGTGGGAGATGATCCCGTTTCTTCGACATCAGGTTGACAGACTGATTGAGCTTTCTGACTCAATCCTGGGTTGCAAGAAATGGCAGTGCTGAATAGCTTTGACTTGTTGGACCCCACCTTCTCACGTATCTTTCAATTTATCTAATTATTAATATAAGCTTGAAATGTAGGATAACCCTTGTCTTCCAAGTAAATTATACTGTAATAACCCCTCAAAATCTCAAACTGTGGCCTGTTGTCTAGCAGTGACGCTGCGCAGGTAAGTCATCGGGACCTGAAAAGTGACAAAAACTCATTAAGCGACTTAATAGCGACTATTAGCAACGTGGTATTAAAAATAATTAATCAAGTTATAACAACAATTACGGCACAAGTCGTTCGGCAAATGAAAAGATTGCTTTATAAAATATACACCTTATGTTTCACATTGTCGTTCTAATTATTCACATTTCAAACGTTTCATAATAAATTCAATACAAATTCGTTATCAAAAACTGCTAGTAAACAATAGCGAACGTACTACTTGTGCCAAGTTCGCGCGCACTACGTATTTGACGTATTTCACAATCAAATGCATATTTATTGCCGCAAATATGGCCATAAACCGGTAGCTCACTATAATAATTGTCAAAAAAAATATTTACATCACGCCTCGTGAGAAATTCGCGCCGGAAAACTCATGAAAACCTCATGTTTTGGTAGTTTCACCTCACAAGTGACACCTAACGCCACCTACAGCTGAGCGAATGCGTGTGCGTCGAACGAAAGCACCAAATCATTTCCCTACCCGTGGCGCACCTCAGATATGTCCTCACAAAATACTCACTATTTATCCAGGGAAACCTCCAAAAACCACATTAAACAGTTAGTTGGACACACAATGCACCATAATATGCAAAAAAGTTCAATATAAACACGCGATAAAACTTAGAAAATGAATTTTGAAAAGCACAAATGTCTGCAGGCGTCCGCCATAATGTTTCCTTCGAAACGAAATATACTTCTTATTGCTCTTCCAATCGCTCTATTCGCTATTCAAAATGGCGACCGTGTGGCGGACACAGTGCGCATTTGCGCGACTTTTTGTTGGAAAAAGTGGACAAATCTTGAACAACGCAACTGATTTGGGTACAAGAATTTCCCCAGAATCACTACCGGTAATTATTTTATAATATTTTCACTCGCGTTACGCCATAATGTCGCTTTGACCGCGACATGTGACAGAACTATGGGTATACACTCCTCCCAACAAGTTTTTCGCGGCCGATATTATTTTTATTTTGAGAAACGTGGATGACGATGGTTTTTATTTGGATTGATGCATTGTTGAATCAATTTAAATTTCATATCGAAATTTCATGTCAATTCTTTCAAAACGAGTATCTCAAATTATTAGCCTTGAATTATTTTTATTAACTCGATGTTTAATTTGTTTCAGAGCTTAACAAGAAATTATTCAAGTTACTCTAAGTCGCCATTTGTTAATAAAATTGTAGAACAATATGACTATGAAGTAGTAAAGAAACCACCGGAATGGAAGTACGTCGAGAGACTTTTACCTTTCAGTACAATTCCTTCAGTCACACCCAAACAGAGCTACCCCTCGGGATGGGTACCGCCAAAAGAAGAAGCTAAAGATCTTCCATACTTCATTCCAAGAGATAAAAATCATGATCCTCCCATATATTTGAAAATAACTTACAGGGGTATGCGAAAAATATCGTGTATTAAAAAGATAGAGGGCGACATCTGGATGATGAATAGCGAATTAAAGGCTTACTTGAAAAGCAAAAATAATAAATACATAGAAACTAGAGTTCATGAATTAACTAAATCTATTGAGACTAAAGGTGATTATGTTAATGATTTACTTCAATGGGCTTATTCGAAAGGATTTTAGATTAAAATGTATGATGTATGTACGACGTGGTAGTTAAATAAATTTGTAAAAAAATATTTTGTTTTATTATTTTCAACATAAATTTTTACTTATTTAGTCACTTACATTAATTTGATGATGTTCCTATAAAGATTAGAATATTTATATTTTAACAATTTTATTATTAAATTAAAAGAAAATTAGCTCTAGAATTAACTTAAAATAGACATTTCTTACCATGATTTGCATTAAACTGCTCAAAATGAAATGTCATTTTATAAATAATCTATTTAACTTAACCAGATATAATAACACGTAACACATATAAATATATAAATAATGCTTACCGAAAGTCGAACTTGTTGGGTGCTGTGTACGCGGCATGAAGTAAGTTGTGTTCAGCCACCGCTAGAGGCGCGATGAGCGGCGGAAGGTTTCATCTACCTAGCTATATAACATCCGGCCCGTGGCTGGGCCTCTTCGGTGTATTTTCGACCAGACTCGACTTCTTTGTTCGCAACAACTTTTCTATAACCCGGCGCAATTAATAAACGCTTTTGACATGCTTTTTCAGTACGCCGCCGTGCACTCTTAACTTTTGTAGGTTATTTCTATTAAATTCGATTTTTAATACAAAGTCATATTTATCTTTCGAAGCGTAAATGTTTATTTTAGGCGTAAGAACTTTAGTATATCTATGGTGATAATCGTTGATTTGGCTGGCGTAGGTATTGCGTAATTGGTTTAATGATAAATATAATGTATGTAACAATGTTATAGGTTTTCAAGGTCGTTCGTTTTCAGGACTTACACGTGTACAGTGTAGATTTGTAACCATTTTAGCTTGTGAATGTTATTTTACGCCTTGCAGCAGTAAGAAACGAGGTAAATGGAATATTTACGTAGTAAATACGACGATAATAATAATATAGATTATGTATTGTTAGGTATTTATGTAAAGATTCTTTGCAATACGTATCGGAATTTGTAAGGTATTGTTTTAGATTACGGCTAAAAGAAGGCGTTTTTATTGTATGTTCGGATATGTTATGTAACTTTAATTGGGCAGTACCGTTACTTAGAGTAGAATAATGTCAATTAGAGTGAATTTCAAGTTAAGCTCCTTAGTTTGGTAGGTATATTTATTGGATATAACTTTACATTAAGTGCCCGTGGTCCTACTGCGTAGTTCTACTCTAGTAATATCAAGGGCAATGGTTTTTTTATCCGTGCTTCTACCAGTAGAAATGCGATTCTTTATGAACTGTCGCAGGGATCATTCTAGAGAACAATTGTAGTTAGCTCAGAACCAGTAACATTAATATCGACGGTGACTGTACTACCCGATCAGTAGGTCCAATTTCCATACAATTTAATCATTTCTTGCCCGTAGTCCTACTGGTAGAGCCACGGAAAATAAACATTGCCCTTGGTAGGTAATACTAGTGGGACCACGCAATATGATCATGGGCAAAGAATCTAACTTTATGCTTTTCTGAATTTACTATTATAACTTAGTATTATTTATAAATAGTAACAGCTGCATTTTAAAACTAGTTTATAGTTAATCACTAGGAAAAAGTGTGCTTATTTGAAATTGTGTAATTATTAGCTTTAGAAGGTTTTTTTTCCAAGGACATTGGATGTCTGATTTACTTTATTACTGCAGCGGGCGGCGCGGTAGGCGTAATACGTAACGAAATAGAATAATTTATATCATATTGTCAATGTCGCAACGCTAACAATTTATATAAATGGATAATGCTATGTCTTAAGTTTATGAACCTTAGTTCCAAGTATGAGCGAAATGACCTTATGCAGGCTTACTATTCAAGTGACTTCACAAGGGCTATGAGGATTTTTAAAGGGTGTTTTTTTTTGGTTACTGATTTTTTAATGTGCACGTGTATATTCCATTCATTCCTTAAGGGATCTTGTCCAAGGTAAGAAAAAACAAGCTGTTATATATAAATTTAGGCCAATTAGGTAACATGTGACGCCATTGTAGCCTAATAACATATTTCTAATTGTTGGAATAAAAAAGTTCCTCTCTAGAATTAAGTAACAAAAATTGGTAAATTTTGCAGAGCGACGTAATTTTAACCAACTTCAAAAAAGAAGGAGGAGGTTCTCATTTCGACTTTTTTATGTATGTTACGCGATAACTTCGGATTGATTTATGATTTGTGAAGCGATTTTGATGATTATTTTTTTGTTGGACACAGTACCTCCCATTTCAATTTGAAGAAAATATTCCACCTCTAAGGGTGGCAAACTGGGGGTTGAATCCGGTTTCGCGCACTTTCTGGTAACCGATATCAATAAAACGTGGCAAATAGATGTAATTCCACGAACGTTTGAAGTTGGCTTTTAATAAAAAAGTTGTAATTATCGATTCAGAAGTTGATTAGGAATGTCGCAGACATCTGCATCCGTATATGTTTAAATATCTGCTTCCGCATCCGACACACACACTCACACACACACACACACACACACACACACACACACACACACACACAC